GCTGGGGGGATGTTGACCACACCCCCTTCGGGCCCGATCAGATCACGTGCCCATAGTGTCCCAGCTGTCCAAAATTTTTCACGTGTCCAGGTGGTCCAGCTGTTCAAATTTCCCAGTTGCCCAAGTCCAGCTGTCCAAATTTCCCAGTTGCCCCAAGTCCAGCTGTCCAAATTTCTCACGTGCCCAAGTCCAGCTGTCCAAATTTCTCACGTGCCCAAGTCCAGCTGTCCAAATTTCCCAGTTTCCCAAGTCCAGCTGTCCAAATTTCCCAGTTGCCCAATTGCCCAGTTGCCAAATTTCCCAGTTGCCCAATTTTCCTTTTCTCTGCCCACATATTCTCATGTTGTCATAATTTCTTAGCTGTCCACACTACTCCCTGCCAACAGCCTCCATTTGCTAATATATTTCTCGTACTTATATCTTCCTATTTCTTCCGTTTATCATCATTATACTTTGCATGTGTCCAATAGACCTCTAACTATCTGCGTTTACCATCAGGCTGTACTTTTGACGTACCCATAGACCTCTGACTATATGAATTTCCCACGTACACTTAGGTCTCTTACGTGCACATAACTTTTCCGTGCCCAAATACCCTGATTTTCCTAATTTCTCGCGTGCCCACGAAATCGTACGTGCCCACGTACTGATAATCAGTATTTTTTACGTGCCCATAGTACATACATTGCCTACACTACGTTTTTCATTCATTTCTCACGTACCCACACGTACCCACATACACAGATAATCCTAATTTCTCACGTACCCACATGCACTGTTTTTCCTAACTTTTCACGTACCCACATACACTGATTTTCCTAACTTCTCCCATACCCACATACCCACAAATACCCACACTCACGATCTACATTTCTCATTTCAAATCTTACGTACCCGCACAAACCCATATCACAAATCTTACGTACCCACACCTGTACCCACACATAAACCCATGTCACCCGCTTTTCTTACGTACCCACATCTCTCTCGTACCCACATACCCCGTCTTCCAAATACAACTCACGTACCCACCTTCTCGTCTCCATTTCTCACGTACCCGACCCACTCACGCACGTAAAGCAACAAGTATACCCGCACGTGCCAATACAAGAGGGTATATTACACTTACCTTTGAGAAGATGAAGATCTGTCTGTCTGTTGCTGGTTCCTCTTCTTATTATTATTCTTATTCTTGTTATTCTTTTTCCTGTTCTGTTTCTCGTTTCGAGTAATTATTTTTTTTGTTCTTTTTTTTTTAGTTTTTTTTTTTATTTATTTCCTTTTTCACTCATTCTTGTGTGTTCTGTGGTCTCTCTTAATTATCTTTCTAAGAAGTAATTGAGAAAAGAAACGATTATAAGAATATATATACTTACTTCGTCTTATTCGTATCTGACACTATATATATTTTTTTCTCTCTCTCTACAAGGGGCGTGTCTTCTGATAGGCCTACGAGAGGGCAATTCTAGTTTTATTGACAGTTTAGGCCTATTTTTATGATTGTCTAATACTCGGAGCAAAGAGAATTTCAGAATCAAGTTTCTCTCTTTTAGCATCTCTTCGATAATTCTCTACGTCTTTTTTTTTCTTTCCTTTCACAGTTCCTATGATTTTTTTTTTTTTTTAAGGGAAAAATGTTGAAATGAATAGGCTGTGTGGTATTGCTGGTATTTATTCCTCTCGACGCGTTAATTCTCAATGCACTGTGGATTGACGTGAGGAATTAGGTTGATTTAATGGACGGATTGAATGGATTGGAAGATTGGAGGAATTAATCCGAGCTTCGATTGATCGGAGGAACAGTAAGCGAAGGAGGATGATCGGAGGGGAAGGAGAAGCGGCGACGAAATCCGCGATACGAGAGCGCGGTTCTCCTCTCGCGACCGACACCTGTCACCCTGAGCTACCGCGGTTCCCCCCCCCCCTCCCCCACCACGCCCCTACCCCTCCTTCCTCCTCCCCTCCCTCTCTCTCCTCTCGCGTGGAAATCATTTCTCTCGCATCTCCCGACAAGCCTCATTTGCATACGGAATGGATGGCCGAAGCCTCCCCGCGCGCGATCGCGAGGGGCGGCGACGGCGGGCGGCGGCGGGTGTCACCTCGTGCGGGGGCTCCGACGGGCTCCGACGGGCTCCGACGGGCTCCGACGGGGCGGGACACGGCGGGCGGAAGGCGAGCGAGGTCGGGAGGCGGTCGAGCCCCGTCGGCGGCGTCGCCCGGAGTCGGAGTCCGTCGGAGGGCGGGCGAGCGGGGCGGCGTCCTTGATGTATTGACAGGACACCCCGACGCTTCCCTCGGCCAGAACTGTCGGGGGGAGACTGGACACACCGCACACTCACTCACACTCGCACTCTCAGCCTCTCACACTCACTCGTCCTTGAGAGCGATCCGAGCGACGAGGATATGTCGGGTGGCCCTCGAGGACACGATATCCCGCGGTCGCGCCTCACACCTGCACCTCCAAGCCTGCCGGAGGACGACGAGGACGGCGGCGCGAGCACGGAGCGAGGGCGGCGGCGGCGGCGGCGGCGGCGGCGAGCGGGACGGATACTATCGCCTCCGAGCCCTGGACACGACTGAGGCTCGCGAGGCCGGCCGAGGAGCGAGCGAGCGAGAGAGAGAGGGGGGGAGGGAGGCGGCGAGAGAGAGAGAGAGAGAGAGAGAGAGAGAGAGAGAGAGAGAGAGAGGGGGAGAGAGAACGGACACATACACACACGCACGCACGCACACACCCGCCCGGGCACAGCGGCGGCGGCGGCGGGGGGCTGAGCCAAAGAAAACGAGACGCGCATTTGGAGGGAGGCGGGGAGCTGCATGGGCGGAGGGGAGGGGAGGGGGGGGGGGGGGGAAGAGGGAGGGGGAGAGGAGGAAGAGGAAGAAGAAAGAACAGGAGGAAGAGGAAGAAGAAGGGGTGGGGAGGAGAAGGAGAGGAGGAAGAAGAAGAGGTGGAAAATGGGTGGGGGGAAGAGAGGAGGAAAAGGGGAGGGGAAGGAAGAAGATGAGGGAGAATAAGAGGAAGAGGAGGAGTAGGAGGGGGAAGGGGGAAGAGAAGAGGAGGGAGGTGAGGAAGGGGTGGGGGAAAAGGAGGAGGAGGAGGTAGGAATAAAGAGGAGGGAGAAGAAGAAAGGGGGAGGGGTAAGAGGAAGAGAAGGAAGAGGGGGAGGGGAACAGGGGGATGGAGGAGGTGGAGAAGGAGGGAGGAAAGGGAAGAGGAGGAGAAGGGGAGAGGGGGAAGAGGAGGAGGAGAAAGGAGAAGGAGGAGGAGAAGGAGAAAAGTGAGAGGGGAAAAGGAGAAAGGGAAGGGAGGAATAGGAGAGCTTGAGGAGGAAGATGGAGGACTGAGGGAAAAGGAAGAGGAAGAAGGAGGAAGAGGAAGACAGGAAAAGTCGAAGGGAAACAAAGAATAAGAGGAAGGAGGTAGAAGGGGAAGGAAATGAAAATGGAGGAGGAGTCGGAAAAAGAGAAACGAAAGAGGAAGAAGAAGGAGAAGGAGTCGGAAAAAGGAAACGGAAGAGGAAGAAGAAGGAGGAGGAGGAGGAAAGAGAGGAAGAGAGAGAGAGAAGAAGAAGCAGGAGGACCGAAGAGAGACGACCTACTCATGACAAATAACACGACATGTCCGAGTCACTCGTTTCGACTTTAAATTCAATTTCATTTTATCTCTTTCTCCCTTTTATTTACGTTTTTATCATCGTCTATCTTTCCCTTTCCTTGTCCTTCTTTATCTTCGTCTATTCGTTTTTAAATCTAATTTCATTTTATCTCTTTTTTCCCTTTTATTCACGTTTTTATCATCGTCTATCTCTCCTTTCCTTTTCCTTCTTTATCTTCGTCTATTCGTCTTTAAATCCAATTTCATTTTATCTCTGTTTTTCCTTTTTATTTACTTTTTTATCATCGTCTATCTTTCCTTTCCCTTTTCCTTCTTTATCTTCGTCTATTCGTCTCTAAATCCAATTTCATTTTATCTCTGTTTTTCCCTTTTATTTACGTTTTTATCATCGTCTATCTTTCCTTTCTCTTTTCCTTCTTTATCTTCGTCTATTCGTCTCTAAATCCAATTTCAGTTTATCTCCGTTTTTCCTTTTATTTACGTTTTTATCATCGTCTATCTTTCCCTTTCCTTTTCCTTCTTTATCTTCGTCTATTCGTCTTTAAATCCAATTTCATTTTATCTCTGTTTTTCCCTTTTATTTACGTTTTTATCATCGTCTATCTTTCCCTTTCCTTGTCCTTCTTTATCTTCGTCTATTCGTCTTTAAATCCAATTTCATTTTATCTCTGTTTTTCCCTTTTATTTACGTTTTTATCATCGTCTATCTCTCCTTTCCTTTTCCTTCTTTATCTTCGTCTATTCGTCTCTAAATCCAATTTCATTTTATCTCTGTTTTCCCTTTTATTACGTTTTTATCATCGTCTATCTCTCCTTTCCTCTCCTTCTTTATCCTCGTCTATTCGTCTTTAAATCCAATTTCATTTTATCTCTGTTTTTCCCTTTTATTTACGTTTTTATCATCGTCTATCTTTTCCCTTTCCCTTTACTTTTTTATCTTCGTCTATTCGTCTTTAAATCTAATTTCATTTTATCTCTGTTTTTCCCTTTTATTTACGTTTTTATCATCGTCTATCTTTCCTTTTCCTTTTCCTTCTTTATCTTCGTCTATTCGTCTTCTTTGTGAAAAAAAATCTTCCGAGAGATTCCTTCTTCGGGTTCCTTCCTCTCTCGGGATTTCCTGTCTTTGCCCTAATCTTAATCCTCCCTCCTCCTCCTCCTCCTCCTCTTCTTCTTCCTCCTTCTCTCTACTCCCTTTCCTCCTTCTCCTTCTCCTTTTTACTTCTCCTCCTCCTCTTCTTCCTCCTCTTTATCCTCTTCATCTTCCTCCTCTTTATCCTCCTCCTCCTTCCTTTCCTCCTCCTATTCCTCTTCCTCTTTCTCCTCTTCCTCCTTCTTCTCTCCATTCTCTTTCTTCCTTCTCCTCCTCTCCCGTCCTCTTCATCTTCCTCCCTTTATCCTCCTCCTCTTCATATTCCTCTTCCTCTCCCTCTCCTCCTTCTTCTCCCCCACTCTCTTTCTTCCTTCTCCTTCTTTCCTCACCTTCCTCCTCTTCCGCCTTCTCTCCACTCTCTTCCTCTCTCTTTCCTTTCTCTTTCATTCTCTCGTTTCCGCTTTCCTTCCCTCTCTCCCTTCTTCCCTCTTCTCTTCATCCTCCTACCCCCTCCTTCTCCTGTTTCCTTCCTCCTTCCTTCCTTTTTCTTCCCTCCTTCCTCCCTCCTTGTCTTCTCCATCCACCCTCTCCTCTCTTCTCTCCCTCAATCCCCTTTTTTCGTCTTCTTCCTCTCTTCATTCCCTTCTTCGTTTATTCCTCTCTCTATCCCTCCTCCTTCCTTTCTTCCCTCCCTTCTTCATCTCTCTGTCTTCTTTCTCCTTCCTTTTCTCCTCTTCCCTCTCTATTCCTCCTTTCACCCTCCTTCCTTCCATCCCTCCTCTCATCATCCTTTCGCCCTTTCTTCCTTATTCTTTCTTCTCTTCGTCCTCTCTCCCTCTAACCTCTTTTCTCCCACCGTCCCTTCCTCCTTACTTCCTCCCCTTTCTTTCTTTCCTCTCTCCCTCCTCCCTTCCTTCCTTCCTCTTTCCCTCCTTCCTTTTCTACCTTTACGCATTTCTCTCCCACCTCCTCCTCCACCCTCTCTTTTCCTTCCTCCTCTCTCTCTACACCTTCCTCCCTTCTCTTCTTCTCTCTACCCTCCTCTCTCCATCATCTCACCTCCACTTTCTTTCCTCCCTCTGTGATTCCCTTCTCCCTTTCTCCTCCTTCCTCTTTCCATCCTTCTTCTCTCCTCTCTCCTTCCTCTTCCCTCCCTCCTTCCACCCTCCCACTCCCCTCCACCCACCTCCCTCCCCAACTCCCCTCCTCCCCTCCCCCTTCCTCCCCATCCTCCCCTCCCCCCACCTCCCCTCCTCCCTTCCCCCCAACACCCCTTCGTCAAGCCAGATTCTGTCACCGAGGGGCCTCCGAACCCCCCTCCGTCCTCCCTTCTCTAACCTCTCACCCCCTCCTCTCCTCCTCCCACCTCTCACCCCCCACTCCCTCCGCCTCCCCTCCTTCCCTCCTTCTCCCCCACTCCCCTCCCCCACCTCCCCCTCCCCCTCCCTCCATCCTCCTACCTCCCCTCCCCACCGTCCCCAGAGAACCCTCCCCCTCCACTCCCCCCTTCGTCAAGCCAGATTCTGTCACCGAGGGGCCTTCGCGAACCGCCCTCGTCCTCCCGGTATGAAATGACAGTTGTCCCTCATCTCGTTTCCGCACGCGATCCTCCCTCCCTCTCCTCCTCCTCCTCCTCCTCCTCCTTCGGTGCCTCCTTGGCTCTGGGTTGGGGGGGAGAGAAGGAGGGAGGGTTGGGAGGGTAGGAGGGAGGGATTGGAGGTGGGGGAGGGTGGGGGGTGGGAGGGGGGGATTGGGAGGGGTTGGGAGGAAGGAGGGGAGGGTGGAGGGGGGAAGTGGATAGGGAGAAGGGGTGGGGAGTGAGGGTGGGGGATGGGAGGGATTGGGAGGGGGAAGTGGAGGGAGGGAGGGTGGGAGTGGGAGGGGAGGGGGTGGGAGGGGGGGAAGGAGGAGGGAGGGAGGGAGGGAGGATAGGAGGGAAGTAGGGAGAGGGGGAGGGAAGTAGATATTTTGAATGGTTGTTCTAAGTCTGTTGTTTTGAGTCGGTCGTTCGAAGACGGTTGTACATACTAGTCGTTCGGAGTCCCTCAGTCGTCTCGTGTCAGTCGTGTCGGAGGGAAGGGAAGGAGGAGGAGGGAGGAGAAGGGAAGGAGGGAGGGAGGGACAAGGGAGGGAGGGAGGAGAGAGAGGAGAGAGAGGGAAAGAGAGAGAGAGAGAGAGAGAGAGAGAAGAGAGAGAGAGAGAAGAGAGAGAGAGAGAGAGAGAGAGAGAGAGAAGAGAGAGAGAGAGAGAGAGAGAGAGAGAGAGAGAGGAAGAAGAGAGAGAGAGAGAGAGAGAGAGGAGAAGAGAGAGAGGGAAAGAGGGAGGTGAAGAAGGGAGAGGGAGAGGGAAGAAGAGAGGAGAGAAGAGGGGAGGAGGAGAAGGGTGAATGGAAGAAACAGGAGAGAAGAGGAGAGGAAGGAGGAAGGAAGAGGAAGGAAAAAAGAAAAGAAGGTAGGAGGGGGAACGGGGAAGGAAGGAGAGAGGAGGGAAGAAAGAGAAGGAAAGAGAGAAGAGAGAAGAAGGAGGAAAGGTGAGAGAAAGAGGGGGAAGCGAAGGAGAAAATAGAAAGGAGAAAGGAGAGATGGAACAAAAGAGTTGAAAAGAGAAAGGGGTAAGAAGGAGAAAAGAGAAAGGAGAGAGAAGAGAGGAAATAGGAAAGAAGAGGGAGCAGGAGAGACGTGGAAGGAGGATTAAGGATTAAGGGAAAGACAGGGAATCCCGTCAGAGGATAAAACAAAAAATATCTTTTTCTTAACGCAAAGAAACGAACAAGAATAAGCCAAAACACAGATAAAACCTTAAGATGGAAAGAGAAATCAGACAAAATTATAAGAAAATAATGAAAGATCATTTATAAGCAAGGAA